GCTCCGACACCGACTCCGACATGGAGTCTGCCGACTGTGTCGACTGAGTCGGACGGCCTGTTCACACACGGGGAACGACTCACTCGCAATAGAGTCGCATCGATTATCCATAAAAGCAAGAGTTCATGGGGGTTATGAAATTTTGGTAGGACTTTACATCTCATCAAGAGTACAAAAGTACAAGAGGTCATGAGCTCGACATCGACGCTCTTTGCTGTCATGGTGAAAAGCCTACCGTGATTGGTCCGATGACCGCTCCATCACGTGCAAGCAGTAAAAATCGGCCGGCTTTTCGGCTAAATATCGACCAGTCGATACTTGGCCGAAAACTAGTGCGACAAGAAAATCGCCGCAGATTTGTCGGAACCCTGTACGACAACACAGTTCACACTACGCAATTTTCGCCCCGATCTTGAGGATTTTTCGTACGAGTCCATAGTGAGGTTTTGCATTCCGAAATTCGGTGCGCGAGTTCGACGGTCATTTGTCGAAAATTAAATGTCGAATTTTCGGGTGAACGTTTGTTTTGCAAGTCGAACATCGCGTTTGTTCGCTTCGTGAGCTTGGTTGATTCAGTTGCCATGGAAGGGAACATGGCGGTCATAATCGCCCGGGAATTTTGAACTTTTTGAGTTGTCGGAATAAACATTCAACGCTGAGTGACAGCGAGTGACATGAAGTAACTAGTATTACTACTAGTCACTGTACTAGTCGCAAATAATCATGTTGGAAGAGGAGAGAGACAGCCTGGTAGCGCTGCTGCTTTTATCGTACGAGTACGGAGATCTTGAGGAGGATGATCTGTTGCTATTGGTGTTAGCGCTTGAGGAAGATGTCGAGCTCACGAACTACAAATTTAATCAAGTTATTGGACAGCGGCTATGCGTCGAGGAATTGGACGACGAGAAGTGTTTGCGGAGGTTTAGGTTTACGAAAGCTGAGTTGAAAGACCTGCACAGGCGATTTAGACTGCCAGAGAAAATGACTGCTCCTTGCAGAACAACTTGGACTGGAATGGAGGGCTTGCTTGTAGTTCTCCGACGTCTATGTTACCCCAATCGACTTGGAGATTTATGTGAAGAATTTGGAAGATCTAAGCCAGTGCTAAGTATGATTTTCAACATCACGCTCATTTGGATTCACAACGTTTGGGGTGACTTGCTCACCAACCCATTTGATAAAGCATTCTTCACCCAAGCTAGGTTGGAGAGCTACGCAGCTGCAATTGCGAGACGCACGAGAGTTGACCTCAAGGTCATAGGTTTTATAGACGGAACAGTGCGGCCAATTTGTAGACCGTCCCAGCACCAACGCTTGTGCTACAATGGCCATAAACGAGTACATGCGCTGAAGTACCAATGCGTCACTGTGGCAGATGGGCTGATCTTTCACATGTATGGCCCCATTGAAGGTCGGCGACACGATTCTGGAGTCCTGGCGGAGAGTGGCCTTCTACAACAGCTACAGCAGCATATGGAAGTTCCTGGAGGTGGTAGGGTGTATGCCATTTATGGAGATGCCGCATATCCTCTGTCAACCTACATCCAGAAAGCCTTCCAGGGTGCTGCACTAACTCCCGAACAGCTGCTATTCAACACACTGATGAACAGCGCTAGGCAGACGGTCGAGTGGGAGTTTGGCCAAATCCTTTCCCTGTGGGCCTATGTTGACTTCAAGAAACAACAGAAGATCTTCCTACAGCCAGTCAGCATCCACTACAAGGTCGCTGCGTTGATGACGAACTTGAGGACCATCGTGAGGAAGGGCAACAACATATCCAAGTTTTTTGGTCTGAAGCCTCCTACGCTTGATCAGTATCTTCAGTGACTTCAGTCTGGAGGTACAGTGGTTCCATGTTCTGTTGTCTTGTTTGTGTTATTTTAGCACCGGCTTGTTTCCATGTGTTCAAAGAATCTATATGCCCAATCAGACCAGCAGGTCTGGGTTTCGTCACTGGCCTCATGCTCCTGGCCGCGGGGATTAGTACTCTTCTTTACATTACTGTCTGTCTGTCGGCAGATACGTGTGTGAGGCTTAGTTATGGATATGATTTCCCTTGTCGGATTTTGATTTGTAGGTGAATTCTAGCTCGTGATTTTTCTTGTCATTTTGTCCCCTCTTCAGTACACCCAACTCGCAACACACGAACAGTCCGTGGCTACACCACGTACAATAAATTGTCCACATTTTCACCCAGGAGGGCATCATCAGTGATTTGCCCTCCTGGGTGAAAATGTGGACAATTTATTGTACGTGGTGTAGCCACGGACTGTTCGTGTGTTGCGAGTTGGGTGTACTGAAAATATGACTAGGCTACAATGGAGTTTTTAAGTTATTAAACAAAAATGTGTCCCCTGTTCAACCATTCAACCAAACAAAACTGTGTGACGCTATGGAGTGTATGCGTGGCCCGCCATTATACAGACTATGTTTTCACGCTGTCGACATCCAGTTTCCTTGCACCGTTTACTGTTTATCTGGTATATCAAGATAATATTTCTTGCCTCCCGCAATTATTAACTTGTCGCGGTCTTGTCAAATGAACTCTCATTTAAGTCTCAAACCCGTCCTCACATACATGCCTAAGGTTCATGAACTCGAAGAAACTTTTTGGCATTCAATATTATAATCGCTGTTTCTACTCCGTGCTTGCTATCTTTGTAGTACGGCCGTTCTTCTTGCAGATGGAGAATCTATATCTAAAATGAAAGGGTACCGTTGGTTGCGATTGCATTGTGTCCACTAGCGCCCCCTACACATACGCACACATTTAAACTTTCTTCCTTGTACATAGCAAGTCTTTCATACAATCTAATGGGTGTTGCGGGTGTTGCCCGGATTCAAGCAGGCATCACTCAATGTCCACAACCAAAGTGATTCATGGATTGGTGGCATATATTCACGAAAGGGTACTCGTAATACGGAACGAGAGAAAACCTGTTGAAAAAAGAATAAGCAGGTTGATGGTTGACTTTCGAACAAACAGTATACTTGAACAAGAAGACTGTACCACAAAGAGCAACTGAAATTCAGGATGTCTCCCAGGACACGAATACAGAACAGCTGTACTTTCTTTCTCGTATTCAGTGAGACCAAAGTAACGCGGAGAGAAGATACCACCAGCAGAGGTTGTAGGTAAATCGGGTCCACAAGAATGTTTAGAACTTACTAGAACAAACGCAGAATGTAAGCACGTGCCACACATGAACGTGCGCGAAAGATCATGAATAAGACGGATCACATGATTGCCTAAAGCCACAGCGGAGAGTATCAACTCTAGAACAGCATGCGTGAAACTGAAACCCTAGAGTAAGTGGTATTGCCATAGCAGGCTAACAGAAAGGAGCAACAATGGTTCATATATATGTCTGTAGCATACAGCACTCATTTAGGTGTTTCTATCAACTACGGGGCCACAATAAGGAAGAACAGAATTCGATGAGTGGAAGTCGGGTGCGTAAAGAAAACCGTGGCCTGCATCCCTCAATGCAGTTACATGTAGTTGGCTTGTTTCGCCACCAACTTCGATAACAATTCCATCATGGCACCATCACGCTTCTCCCGTGCTTCCCGGTCCGCCTTCGCCTCTGCTCTGTCAGCGTCTTCTCGCTTCTGCCGAGCCGCCCTTTCAGCTCGGGCTTCTTCTCTCTCACCTCGCTCCTTCTCCTTCTGTGCTTCCAATCTCTGTTCCTCTAACGCCATCTGAAACAGGCACAAAAAAGCAAGGAAGCAGGAAAATAGTATAATTATCATCACACTCAACTAACTCTCTTGGATTTGCGTCACACTACCAATAGAATTTTTGACGACAGGTTGGAAAACAGTATGCAGTATCCAGCATGTAATGAGCTGGATCTCCAAAAGTGTGGCTTTGAGCGTTATAGGCACAACACATTACTCCTGAGAGATACACTCAAAGATGGTCCTGAATGCAGTGTCTGCTCCAGCGCCGGGTGAGCCGGGTAATCCACCCGGTTGGGCGGCGCTTGAACCCGGTTGAAAATATAGTACCGGGTCACCTGTGACCCGGTTGGTACTTTACACTTTCGAACTTTGAAAGGACTGACTACATGGCTTGTATGTGTCAGACTCCAGTACTTCTTCTTTCGTAATTTTCTAATTCCTGTCCTCTCTTTTCTAAATGCGGCTTATCCATTCGCCTTTATAACATTGGGCCTAGTTCCCGTTTTCCGAATTAAAATAAACCAACCAACCAGTTAAAGCATGTGACTCGGCTGGTGAGACAGCGCCAGGTACATGTGTACCCGGCTCCGACCCGGTTGAAATGGTTGCGCCAGGTACACGTGTACCCGGCTGTCCTACAATCCTAGAGCAGACACTGGAATGGTGGTTCGACTTTACTCCCGAACCGTGGAACTAAATACAAAAATTAGAAGCTTTGCTGGGCTTTGCCGCTTTGCTGGGGATATTAACTTTACTCATGATGTGAAGTACTGGTGATCCCCCCCCCCCCCCCCCCATTCCATGCCGCTCCCCAACTGGTTTCTCCACACTGTATGGGAATTAGATCATGGCTCTGAAGTGCAGTACTAACTAGGAATGTACACCTGCCAAAAAGAGGGCTTGTCTCGCTGGATTGTTCACATTTTCATCTACAGGCATACCTGCACTGGCGCGTATTGTGTACAGCAGTGTATGTGTAGTTTCAACATCGCATTTTGACGTACGCGTAGAAGTTCGACAGGGAAGGATCAACAGTAGTTAACGGTAAAACAACACCTAACGCAAAGGTTATCTCACCTTCCTCCTCTCGATCTCCTTCGACTCGTCACTAAACTCTTCTTGAAGACGTTTCTCGTCCACCGCCACACGTCTCTCTTCCAACTCTCGGCGGCGCTGCGTCTCCTCGAGCTCCACCTTCGATTTTTCCTCCAGGTAACCCACCACCACCTCACAGGCACTGGCTTTTGGAGCATCCTGCTTTTTGCTTTTCGGGTTCATGCCGGTGGCATCGTCGCTTTTCTCGCTCTTACGCTTCACCGGCCCAAGCGTGGAAGTTGCCTCATCTCTGAGGAGCAGGGCCGCCTGACGGTCTGCGGCTGGGGCTACTTGTTTGGCAGCAGACTTTTCGCTAGCCTCGTATTTCAAGTCAGCCAGCTCAGTCATCAGTGCTACTTTCTCTGTGAATTCCTCGTCAGACCCTGATTGCTTCTTCTTCCATAGGTCGCCTTTCTGGTGCGCCTCTAGCATCAGCAGCGTTCGATCTCGGGATCCTTTCTTGGTGATCCCAGCAAATCTTGGGTCGCCCAAGGAGTCGAGGGCCAAAGCTGCTTCCTCGTAACCTGGGGATCCACGAAGAAACGGATTGGTGCCACCTCTCAGCTGCCGGAGAAGGATCAGATCCATTGACAAGTCGAACTTGATACATTTCGGCTTGTCTTTCCCGCCGCTCGATGGTGGTGAAGGCACTCGAGGCGGCGAAAGGGGGTGTATGTATCCAGGCAATATTGGAGGGAAGAAAGCAAAGGTACTAGTAGGTGACGATGCCGATCTCGACGAAGATGCCTGCGAATCCATGACTAGATAAGAAATATTTTCAAATATCACACGCTAGCGCTCCTCTTCAACTACACGAAACTTCTTCCGAAAAGTACTTTCGACAAAGTGGGCTTTTTCCGAAGATGCGCGCCGAATCTTCGAGCGCATTTTCTGACCTCGCTCCCCGGCGCCGAAAAGTTTGCCGAATTTCGGAATGCAAAACCTCTCTCATGTCGGCCGGAAAATCGGCCTAGTGTGAACCAGGCATAAGGCATTAAGGGTGTCATCGATTAGCGAATCTGGATTGAGTGCGAGCAGGCGGTGTGGTCCGAGCAACGCTGGCCCAATCGAACAAAACAAGGGTGTAGTACGCAAAATGTACGCATATCGTACAAAGATTCTGTGAAAGCTGTCCAAAAACAGCAAAGTCCATTTCCACTCCCGGTGTGGGGGCCGGTGTGGTCGGATTCCACTCCAAGTACACCTACTCCGGATTCGATCGGATTCAACCAAACGATCACGCTCACTCTGAGCACACTTGCTCGGGATTCGCCCAATCGATCATGCCCTAAGGGATTTGCTTTGGCTGGGTAGGCAAGTATGTTAGGGCCTGGTCAGACTGCGGCGAATTTTCGGTGCCTGACGAAAAAAGAAAATCGTCCAAGATTAGAATCACCATCACACTAGTATTGAAGCACCCCCCATGCAACTCGTATGCAACTCACCAGCATAATCTCGTATGCAACTCACCAGCATAATCTCGTATGCAACTCACCAGCATAATCTCGTATGCAACTCACCAGCATAATCTCGTATGCAACTCACCAGCATAATCTCGTATGCAACTCACCAGCATAATCTCGTATGCAACTCACCAGCATAATCTCGTATGCAACTCACCAGCATAATCTCGTATGCAACTCACCAGCATAATCTCGTATGCAACTCACCAGCATAATCTCGTATGCAACTCACCAGCATAATCTCGTATGCAACTCACCAGCATAATCTCGTATGCAACTCACCAGCATAATCTCGTATGCAACTCACCAGCATAATCTCGTATGCAACTCACCAGCATAATCTCGTATGCAACTCACCAGCATAATCATGGCAGATTTCCGGATTGTGCGCACGCTATAGTTTGTACGTAGTACAAAATGTACCTGAGACATTTGATGTGAGTTTTCGCCATCGGAGACCCCATATGCAGAGTTGCAAACTCTCGGGGCATATAATACTCTTGGGGATACTACTAATGCATCTGTTGTACCAACAGTACATAACCAAGAGTGTGCGACTCGACGATCCCCCAGCCCACGGCGAAATTTTTTTATGACATCAGTCTTTGGCGGCTGTTTGGCTCGCTGATGCCATCATGTAGCCAGAGATGAAAGTACAAAGAATTGGTACATCACAGCTACGGTAGTCGAAGCAGAACAACGGACGAAAGATCGATGTGTCTTGAACCTGACGAACTCTCACCGTATCTACAAAACAAGCGCGGGAAAGCATACCCACTTCATCATACTTCTGCCCAAGAATGACGCAATAAAAAAATTCCGCCGTGGGTGAACCCGAGGGCCAAGGACCAATTATGCTGTAATCCAGGAATTTCGCCCGTGGCAGACACCCATACTGATAATGTTAGAAGCTCCACACTCATGTACTCGTGTGTGTGTATGCGTGTGTGTGTGCTTTTGTGTGTGTGTGTGTGTGTGTGTGTGTGTGTGTGTGTGTATGCGTGTGTGTGTGCTTTTGTGTGTGTGTGTGTGTGTGTGTGTGCGTGTGTGTGTGTGCGCGCACGTGTGTGAGTGTGTGTGTGTGTGTGTGTGTGTGTGTGCATGCGTGTATGTGTGTGTGCGCACGTGTGTGAGTGTGAGTGTGTGCATGCGTGTGTGTGTGTGTGTGCATGCGTGTGCTTGTGTGCGCATGTGTGTGCCTACGGTGTGTGTGCGCGCGCGTGCGTGTGTGTGAGTGTTTGTGTGTGCACGCGCGTGTGTGTGTGTGTGTGTGTGTGTGTGTGTGTGTGTGTGTGTGAATATGTGTGCACCTGTCTGCTTGTTGTCTTCCACAGCTGTCCGTGGGTGTCCTCATCTGCCGCTAATGTTCTTCCGTCAGCCTTCCTCATGTTGGCCGTTGCCATGGGAGTCCTGGTCTTCTAGTTGCCGAGGCGATTCTTGTTTTAATTCAAAATTTTATTCCGAAATACTGGTTGTCAGAGTTGCTGTCACTATTACCCTTTATTCTCCTATTAAGCCCGAGACTAGTGGCGTATTGGTCTTTAACATTGAGCATTCGAGGCACCCTGGGTATGCCTTCTTAATCAAGGTGATCGTCCATTTTCTCCGTTCGCTGCAAGTGTTAGACATATTTTTGAGTGAGCATCACATACCGTTGTGAAACTTGAAATTCCCTGCAAAGTGATACGCAGTCACGATCTACTGTCCTACACTGCGCTATAGTGACCTCTTTCCTATGGGCCGGATCATACAGCAGCAGCAGCAGTAGCAGCAACAGTATTTAGTGCATGCAAAGCCCATGTACATTTCCCCTGCAATTGAAACAGACCTCCACAGTGTGGAAGTGAAGAAGTCCATGCAGGCATGCACCCAAACTTCACACTACCAACAGTCCATAAACATATTAACTATACATGTATGATTGTATACTCGCTTGGCGGTACTTGGTTAAAGCCTCTTGTACGGGCAAAATGAATTGTGCAGAAAAAAACTCTAGGTAAAAGAGCCCACTAGTGCATCGTGACATTCCCACAGATCCTGAAACGGTCAAACTCAGGAAATAGCACTATTATTATCACTCAGGCTGCAATATTCAATGACATAGACATATTCATAAATAATATTACTTGAGGTACATACATTCAATACCCATGAGCTACATTGTATAATATGATAATTATATCATTATAATTATCATCGTTCCCCTGTCATAGTCCTGTTTATCATGTTCAGCATAAGCGAAGTTGTGGATCATGCTTGCATGGTTGACTCCAACGCGCACATGCAAGTAATAATAATATTAATAATAAACTGAGAGCCCACACAGACATTGCCATACTGGCAAAGAACGGCAGCTGTTTATAAAGGCTCTGTTTCTCCGCCTGTATGATGCCCTCGACTGGCCCATGACTACTGAATACTGCAAATCATGATTCTTCTCCAATAATTATAATAGCCACCAAATTCTTCATAAAAAGGAATTTTAAAATGAGTTGGCGGTACAGTGTACTTGGTGAAATCACCTCGTACTGTACTGTACTGTACTGTACTGTACTGTACTGTACTGTACTGTACTGTATTGTATTGTGCATGACTGTATTCTTGGTCAAAAGAAAGAAAACAGTGGTGCAGATAAGAATATGCTTTTCGTGGATTTGAGTACTACCAAGAGTATACAGAAGAGTCCCACGCCGAAGATGAGAACGTTGAGCCCAAGAACGTCCAGCCTGAAATGCTAAGAACGCCACAGCCTAAAGTTAAGAGCGGCGGAGTTTGGTTTTCTGGCAGCTTGTGGGATACATAACATGATCAAGAGTAGATAAACAAGAGTGTGCAACTCCGGATCTCTCCTGCACAATCTGCAGATACCCCCGCCCACGGCGGAATTTTTTGTTGACGTCACCTTTTTTCAGAGAAACGCGCATTTTGCCGCAGAGCAGTGTGAGAGCACGTGCTGGGCATCGACCTTGTAGTGTTAAGCCCGGCCAAGAGCACGAGGAAAAACTTTCCGAAAGACTCACAGCACGTGCGTCGTCAAAAAGATTACGTCAACTAAAAATTCCGCCGTGGGCCTACCCATCTGCAAGTTGAACACTATTGTTTATCTACTCTTGATACGATCCACTACGGCTTGTTTCTTAGAATACGCAATAACGCAGCCAGATTGCTAGAAAAATAAGAACGTCCCCTTGGAAACAACGTTCTTGGGCGCGCGACTCTACTCTAGGGCGTATACGGCAGCAGCAGGCAGCAATTTGCACTGACACACTACCACAGCTACACAAACCCTTGGTTTCCTCTATGTATCATCAACTCTTGTCTTTGATAGTTTTCGAGAGTTTTTGAGAGGTTTCGACCCGGGTTCAATTTCAACCAGGGAGTCGTATTTTACGACTCCCTGATTTCAACACTCCACGATCACAGACTGACTCCGTAGTGACTGAATCGTTCACATAGCGCAGCAGCGTACTTGGCCCGGTATGACTTGGGTGTTTGCATGTTTACATGAAGAGAGTTTACTCATGCGTTCCATATTAAAGGGGAAGTATACCCTAAAATCAAATTTTCACCAGTTGTAGTCTTCTGGGTGCTGAGTCGAATGGTCTTGGTCCGAGGAAGCTGCGACCCTCCCGTCCTTCTTTTTTCCCAATTGAACCCGCGCACTTCCACCGAAACTGGGTGACTGCGCCCTACTAGATGGGGATTTGTATGCAAAATCTCACTAAAAGTGCTATGTCGTTCTTATAAAAGCACGGATGACCGCGATTGGCCCATATGTACATTATTCTTTTATTCCACGATGGCGTGACGCCAATAAGGATGATTGATAAGTGCGATGGAACTGGTACTAGCCAGAAACAGCTAGATGGAAATTAACCGGGAGGTAAGAAGCAATGGATTATGAAAAACAAGCGGGGGCAATAACGTTAGCAGGGGTGATCGAGATAGTTAAGTACACGTTCGAGATATCAGAAACCAGGGGGGTGCGCGGAGCAGGAACAGGTACTGCTCAAAAGGAGACTGGATGCATTGTTTCGGAAAGAATTTCTACGAGGTTGGGTTGTGATGTCGATAGGGAGTGAGTTGTAGAGGGTGAGGGCACTGTTGATGGGGGAATCTCAGTGCCTGTTAGTGTGTGCGTGTCCGATGGAGTAGGTCCTTGTCTGTCGAAGGGTGTATGGTTGGTGTTGACGTTGTGGTGCAAGATGTGGTTGTTGCAGGTGTGGTGGGGAGGTTTGGTGGTGGATGTCCCATGCTAGTAGGACTTGTTTAACAAGGAGTCGCGAGCTAAGGGTGGGGAGCTTTGCATGATGGAGGAGGGAACTGTGGTGAACTGGTGCAAAGAGGGGAATCCGAAGGCAGATGCGTATAGCACGGCGTTGAATTCTCTCCAGTGTGTCCCGCTGTTGCTGTGTGGTGTTGGAGAGGGCAAGGCTGCCATATTCGACAACGGGTCGGATGTAGGTCGTGTATATTAACAATAGGCTGGAAGCGTTCATTGTGCCACGTGTCTTGTGGAGTTGGTGTAGTAGTTTTTTGGCTTTGTTGGTGGTTTCTATGATGTGTTGGGTCCATCGCAAATCGTCTTGGAGTGTAACACCAAGGTGCCTATGTTGGTGGACCTGCTGCAGCTGAGTCGAGTGGAGCGTGATGTGGATGGTGTGTTGGGGTTGGAAGGAAAGGACGACGGTTTTTGTGGTGTTGACGAGGAGATGCCAATCCTTCAACCATCATCCTGCTGCGTCCACGGCACGTTGGAGGAATGCAGCTGACAAATCCCTCGTGTAATGCGTCGCGATGAGTGCCGTGTCATCGGTGAACTGGCTGCATTTAGTGTGAGAGTTTGTACATGCTGGGGGGGGGGGGGGGGGGTCGATCGTGTACACCAGGAAAAGAAGAGGCCCCAGGACAGAGCCCTGGGGTACTCCAGCTGGAATGGATTTCCATGTTGTAGTCTTTTGGATGCTGAGTCGACTGGTTTTGGTCCGAAAAGGCTGCGATGCAGCGTTCCTCTTTTATTCCCAATCGAACATGGTTGAACAAGCGATCACGTGCTCCTGGGTGCCCAAATCACCTGGTCACCGCGCCAGCAGGCGACAACTTTCACACCAAGGTTCAACTCGAGTGACAGGACTGCACCCAAAAAAGGTTAAACAGGCTAGTAAGTAGTTGTACCCTGCAGGCACGGTGACCAGGTGACTGGTGTACGCAGGAGCACGTGACCGCTTGTTCAAACCTTTCAGCACGGCCAGGGTGTGTAACTGACCCGCGGAGCCAAAACCAGTGATTTTCGTGATTTTCCAGTATTCACTCACAATTTTTTCTGCGGAATGCATGTTCGCACGCGACATCTATGTACTAGTACGCGTGCATAGCGGCACACGTGCGCCCGTCAGTACTATCGTAGAACAGTCGATGTTCATCCAGCACGTCACTGGTCCACGTAGGGATAAGATCCGTCGACCACGGGTTGTCTCGGGAGTACGTTCATTTTCACTGTACGCATCACGTATATATACGTGATTCGTGGGCCAGTTACATGTACCATCACGTACATATACGTGATGCGCGCTGAAAGGGTCAACCATGTTCGATTGGGAATAAAGGAGGAACGCTGCATCGCAGCCTTTTCGGACCAAAACCAGTCGACTCAGCGTCCAAAAGACTACAACATATGGGCCAATGGCGGTCATCCGTGCTTTTATAAGAACGAAGTGGCGCTTTTAGTGACATTTTGCATTCAAATCCCCATCTAGTAGGGCGCAGTCACCCAGTTTCGGTGGAAGTGCGCGAGTTCGATTGGGAATAAAGGAGGAAGGGAGCGTCTCAGCTTCCTCGGACCAAGACCATTCGACTCAGCACCCCGAAGACTACAACTGGTGAAAATTTGATTTTAGGGTATACTTCCCCTTTAACTTGGCAATGGGCGATGGGCTTCTACTTGCGTGCAGACAGGCCCCCCCTCCACACACACATCTGACATCCGTACGCACGCACACAGCACAGAAGCGCAGAGGGTGGGTGTACACGAGAAATGTAGCCAGTACGGGGTTAGAGAAAAGCAAGGCGTTGGCTGCCAAGGTGTGCAAGGCACACACCACACACACACACACACACACCTGACCTTTGACGCCCATCGCCGGAGGCGATGATAGCAATGCTACGGCAGATGCCATAGCAACTTGTGCTGGGATTGCACCATTCAACAGCTTGCAAGGCTGAAGAATTGACCGTCACTATTCAGCCTGGTCTACACCATGCAGCTATTTTGAAGTGACTTTTTCTGGCCAGTGAATCCCTATTTTTGGTCTTTTTTTTCTTTCTTTTTCTTTTTTTTCTTTTTTTTCCCGCACACACATCACACCACATACTCCGGCATGCACTGGCTGTTGGTAACCACCCAGGAGAATGAAAGAAAAGTCAGGAAGAGTCTTAGAAAGAGAAGAAAGACGTGTGTGACCATAATCGTCGGGAATCGAACCCGCAACCTATCGATTGGAAATCGCTGCACATACCACTGCACCATATGGGACACACACACACACACACACACACACACACACACACACACACACACACACACACACACACACACACACACACACACACACACAAGCATCTGGCACGGTGGGTAAACAGTGGAATCCATGAAAGACTGCATGCACATTGGACTGGCACGTGCAAGCGACCACGGATAGTAGCTCGTAGACAAGATGTCAACAGCCAACATGAATGTGTGTGCGCGCGTGCCGCAAAGCACTTACACGTTCACAAACTGACACACAACCATAAGACACGCACATACACATGATTGTACACACACGCGTGCGCGCGCGTGCACACACACACGCGCACACCCAATCCATCTGCAATCAGCTGGCAGGTGTCTCGAACACGACATGCTAGCCAGCAATACTGCTCATTGAGGCTACCTGGCAAGCGGGTCAAAACCTAACGACGTAGTTCACAGCACTCTCCAGCCGCTGGGAAAACCGTATGAAATAGTTGCTGGGAATCGATCTCTTAATGTTCGCACAGAACACAGACAGAGGGAGTAACGGCAACATCCATATTAGCTTACAGGCCTCAACTTACACACCATCGTTGTACTCATGGTGGTGGTGGTGGTGGTGGTGATGATGGTACTTGTAGTTTGGGAGACCCGTTGCTGACCCGTGTGTCTGCCTTTGTATATCTACAGACGGGGCAGCAGGCTGGCAAGCTGGACGCGCACACAGCAGGCTGGCAAGCTGTACGCGCACACAGGACGGCTGTCCTCCGTTGAGCAGCAGCAGCATTCTAAATAGCACCGCCGAGGTCCGTCTTCAGAAAGTGTTGCGCTTTCTGCACGGGGACGAGTACGGGAGCACAGACATGCACGACAACAACCCCCCCCCCCCCCCCCCCCACACACACACACATACAAAAACACACACACATGTCCACATGCAGATTATGCTTCTGAGTAGTACTGGACATATACCGTAGTGTCTTGTATTAAAGACTATCTCGTATAGAAGTCTGTTTTGAATACAAACCTGATTTTCAAGATACACTGTCGGCACATACGCCTGGTTTCAGTGTTGACATACATAGAAATACCTGGTTTTAGTGTTGACATACATAGAAATACCTGGTTTTAGTGTTGACATACATAGAAATACCTGGTTTTAGTGATGACATACATAGAAATACCTGGTTTTAGTGTTGACATACATAGAAATACCTGGTTTTAGTGTTGACATACATAGAAATACCTGGTTTTAGTGATGACATACATAGAAATACCTGGTTTTAGTGTTGACATACATAGAAATACCTGGTTTTAGTGTTGACATACATAGAAATACCTGGTTTTAGTGTTGACATACATAGAAATACCTGGTTTTAGTGTTGACATACATAGAAATACCTGGTTTTAGTGTTGACATACATAGAAATACCTGGTTTTAGTGTTGACATACATAGAAATACCTGGTTTTAGTGTTGACATACATAGAAATACCTGGTTTTAGTGTTGACATACATAGAAATACCTAGCTCGAATAGAAATACCTGGTTTGAATAGAAGCCTAGCACTGGCATCGGCTTCTACAGGAATACGCAGCCTGGCTTTAATACGCTTTAATTCCCGTAGCTATGCAGAAGACGTTACTTCAGTAACGTCTGGCGCTAGCCAGGGTCCACACAGCTTTAATTTCGTATTTGTGTGTTTGTTTGTGTGTTTGTGTCACGCCTGGCGCTATCCCGTATCTGTCCCGTACCGCACCGTACCATCAAACACAGCTGGCCACATACAGCTGGCCGCAATATTCAAATTGGGCTTTCAAACGCAAGATCATAACGTGAAGTAACTACTTGGAAGAATGGGTATGAATGCGAAGTGTATCGGGGAATGCATGTAGGGTGATAGTGCGGGTTCGAATCCCAGGATATGACTGAAAAATAAAAGGAGAATTGAAAAATGTATAACATCCCTATGCTTTCTTTGCCGTCATCAAGGCGGTAGACGGTGTCGTATTACCCTCGACCGTACCTGTCCCGTACCTATCCCGTACCGTACCGTACCATCAAAGACCGCTGGCCACAATGCATATTCAAATAGGGCTTTCAAATGCAAGATCATAACGTGAAGCAACTTGGAAGAATTAGTATGTATGCGAAGTGTATCGGGGATGCATGCAGGGCGCGCGATAGTGCCGGTTTCAAATCCCAGGTTGTCTTTAAAAAAAAAAGGAGAAATTTATAACATCCCTATGCTTTTTTTGTATAGGTCAGCAAGGCAAAAAAGCATAGCGTAGGGCCCTGAGCTTCCAAGCTCTCTCGTACGCGGCATACTGTTCAGCGCAAATCATAACACACTAAACCACGGCACACCTGTACATCAGGGAGTCGTCGAATACCGGTACTTGGGTCGTCAATACCGGTAATTGAGTCGTCCAATACCGGTAATTGAGTCGTCCAATACCGGTACTTGAGTCGTCGAAGACCGGTATTTGACGACTCCCTGATGAACATGTGCCATGCAGCAAACACAGACAGCGATTTCACGAAGCGAATGAGAATTTCAAATTTCAATCCACTTGCCATGACAGATGGGGAAACACACCACTACGCAGATAACGAATAGGAATGGGCACTTGCATCATCCATTGTATCCGTCCCTGAGTGATTGGGTTCGATTCAAGTCATCAACCTATGGTTTCAGGTTTGTCAATTTCACAGCCGATGCGCGTTCCTGTTGTGCATCATCACTTGTAGTCATGTATCACCGCCCCCGCACCAGGATGCGGCAATTGCATCCGCACATTGCGCAACAAACCGATGTTCACCTCTTGCCCGGCACCACTGCTACGGCCATGTCCGTACCAGTGTTCACCAATTCCAGCGCGCTCATGGAATGTCATGGAATGTCCAGCATGAAACTATTTGTGTGGAGGTGCTGATGCTAGTAGCTATTCTTGTACCCCCCCCCGCAGCTAGAGTCTCTCCCTCCTAAACATGTTCTTCCTATCCAGTGAGGACTACTGTGGTGTCTTTTAGAATAATAAATCTGTTGCCAGCAGAACATGTACCGGTAGCTGAAACAACCAGATACGATCAAGACTAGAGCTAGAGGTTCATCCTCTCATCATACTGAACTTGGGCGTAGGGTAACGATCGACCCTGTGGCCGATCGGGCCCTACCATCGCCTTTCAGGAGCAGCTGGCTCCGTGCCTGCGCCTTACCTTGATCTGATCGTCGATGGACTTCTGGCCTCGTACGGCTGCATAGTGGCGAAACTCTTTCCTGATCGTGCCCTGGAAAAAATCCAGGTCTGTATACTTCAGCTGCAGGCGAGCCCGACGAAGGATCTGACGATAGAGACCGAGGATAATCACACGGTTCTTGGCAGCAACTATGTTACGGGTAATCATGATTGAATATCAGCTAGCTAGACAAGACCCAGTGCTTTAGAAATCATACAAAACAATAATAATAATTATTGACAACGCTAACGACCGGCTGCAAGAAAGGCCAAAATCAAATTGCCAAAATGAATAATGTGAGATTTTTTCTCTCCAGTCTCAACAATTACAACTGTGCTGCGATCGTCGTCATCTTCACCAATGCAACACTGTGCAGTAGGCCTAGCCCAATTCTTCCAGCAAAATATCGAAATTTCCCACGAAAAGAAATTGCTGGCAAATTCCGAGCAAAATATCGAATTTACAGAGGATCCGGGTGTATTTTGGCAATTGTATTCAAAATTCTTTGGTTTCATTGGGCCAACTTCGTGCTGAAATAGCCCGTGCAGGTTGTCAGGGGTACATAAATTTGAAATCATGCTACAAAATCCAGAATACTGACACCATCATAAGTTTTGCTTTCCTCATCAGAGTCACCATCCTCTTTTACCAAAGTAGACGGTTCATTCGAAGCCATTTTTGCCCCAAAGCAGGAGCAAAATATCGGAAACGAAAGGCAATGCCAAGCAAAATACGGAAAGTGCTCGGGCAAAATTTGCGGGCAAAATATCGAAGCGCCCCGAGCAAATTTGGGCTAGGCCTACTGTGCAGACCTTTTCCCGCGGGATCGGGCCCAGGTCATGATGAAAACAAAAACGGCTGACATGATGCACATACATGGCGGGCCGGGCCCGGTCACGTGCCACGTCGTCTGAATCATGGATGGGGCATGTTATGTTCGATTGGGCAAATCCGTGGGGCCCCAGATTCGGATTCGCCAAATCCGTACATGTTCGGTTGTACAAATCCGGATCCAGGTCCCAGGGATAACTGAGGGAACATAACTACTTCATATAAAAACATAAAACACGATTGAACTAACTTATGAATGACTGTTCGTCCTCTTGCCATTCGTACGAGCTCGATCTGCTACCATGGCTTGACACCTTGTGCCGGTCTGACAATTCCAGCAGCCGTTCAGTATACATGTACATGTAGACTGGTCTAGATATAACTAGATTGAGTATTGCCTAATAGCAAGAGTACATAACCCCGGGTTATGTACTCTTGCTAATACCAAGAGTACATAACCCCGGGTTATGTACTCTTGCTAATACCAAGAGTACATAACTAAAGCCGCCAGAGCGGCATATGTCAACAGCACCCAAGATGTATCAAGGAGACATTCAGTAATTAAACAATCATGTAAATGTCTGTTTCCATGTACATGATGTAGAATAACAATGGTACTAATGAAACAAATTCACGGTTTGCGTGAGACTCGGCTGGAAACCGAGTTTTCCGCATCC